GCATTAGTTTGTGGAAATGATCAGGACGTGGGGGGACAGGACATAATGTTCACCACATGCATCAGACCCCCCCCCCCCCCCGGTGTTTGCCATTGGGGTTGGGTTTTCGTCGCTTGGCAGCGATGTTGTAAAGCAAGCCAATCACTTTCGTGAGCTCGGCGACCAGGTTACCGGTTTTTTTTTTGGCTTTGGTTATTTTTTTGCGGTACCCATGAATGGTTGTCGAGTAGATTATGTTGTGCGGGGTCGAGAACCCTCACTCCGCGCAAAGGGGATGATCGCACGTTGTGTTAAATTGGTCAAACACCTTCGAGGCAGTTACACAGCGCTTACAACGGTCTCCGGAAGTGAAAGCACCAGAAAATTAATTAAGTCATACGCAGCTGTCATCTGTACGCAAGGAAGTAAGCACAAGATGCTGAACACCCTTAGCAGGATGCAGCGCACCCTTCATGCGACTCGCCGAATACCTCACGGCGCTTCGTGCTTGGTGATGTTAGAGCCTGGTCCGGTGAGAACCCGGCGTGCTCCGTCCCGGCTTTGTATGGATGCGAGGTCAATGGTCTAACGACTACGGCATGCACGACTATGAGTACACCCCCCCCCCCCCCCCCGGGAAGGCCAAAATTTTGGGGAAAAAAAAAAACCCCCCCCGGGAACAGCTTGGGCCTGGGGGATCTCCCATCCCCCCATTCCTTTAAACTGCCAAAAAATTTATGGTTTGGGGTCCCCCCCCCGGGAAAAAAACCACCTTTCCCCCAAAAACCCCCCCCTTTTCAAAAACCCCTGGGTGGCGGGGAAGGGGGGCCCCCCCCCCCCCCCCCGAACCCCCCCCCCGGTGTTTGCCATCGGGGTTTGGGTTTTCGTCGCTTGGCAACGACGTTGTAAAACAAGCCCCACCCTCGGTGTTTGCCATCGGGATTGGGTTTTCGTCGCTTGGCAACGACGTTGTAAAACAAGCCAATTCACTTCGTGAACTCGGCAACCAGGTTACCGTTTTTTTTTTTTTTACCTCGTTTTTTTTTTTGGCGGTAACCATAGCGGTGGTCGAGTAGATCATGTTGTGCGGGGTCGAGAAACCTCACTCCGCGCAACGGGGGATGATCGCACCACGTTGTGTTAAAATGGTCAAGCTTCCTCGAGGCAGTTACACAGTGCTTACAACTGTCTCTGGAAGTGAAAGCACCAGAAAATAAATTAAGTCATACGTAGCTGTCATCCGTACGCAAGGAAGTAAGCACAAGATGCCGAACGCCCTTAGCAGGATGCAGCTCACCCTTCATGCGACTCGCCGAATACCTCACGGCGCTTCGCGCTTGGTGATGTGAGAGCCTGGTCCGGTGAGAACCCGGCGTGCTCCGTCCCGGCTTTGTAGGGATGCGAGGTCAATGGTCAAACGACTACGGCATGCACGACTATGAGTACGACCCCCCCCCCCCCCCCCGACTCCCCAAAGGAACACGAGCCATCCCCCGCAACCCACATATCACAAAATATCTTGAGCACAATTAAAAATCTCTCCGGCACACAAAAAAACAACAACAAAAATACGTACAAA